GCTGAACCTCTATTCAACACAAGACCACAGGAAATTATCATATTCTTCCAAGCTACAGGAAAGGTAAAACCACCTCCAGATCTCCAAAAAACTGATCTCTGAGCCCATGCGTTCTCCTAGCCACATATTTAAATTACAAGAAACTTGTTGTAATTCAAAGCAATTTACATTCAATTATAACTGTACTGATCAGTTTAAAAAAAATAAATCAATTTAAGGCTCAGAAATGTCAACTTCAATTCTAAAATTTCAAGGCACTTCAGCTTCTGGCTTTATTTATTTATTTTTAAGCTTTCCCCTCCCCCCAATTACTGTTTTCCTAATTTTCACTTCTGTATTATTGAGTCTACATATTTATCTAATTACCACTCCTTCATGTTAAATTATTTGCCTTCCGCTTTAAGAAGTTTAGAAAATTATTTATGTGGGCTTCTTATGGTTTCTTTATGGAGACAGACCTCGTTTGCATCACCATCAGTTTCATGTCCAGAATAGCAGAATAGCTTCACCTGAATCTTATTTTACCTAAAGCAGCGCAGGATTATAACAAACAGACTTTCCACTGCACAGAGTTTTTCCCCTCTTCCCAGTTTTATTTCAAAGTGGCCAGACTACCCTCCATAGCAGTCACATACAGTGCACACGTGCTTGCCTGTAACAACCGCAACCTACTTTGGTTGGGAGGAGTTTGGCATCAGTGTCCCATAAACACCACTTGATACTGTGCTGCTCCATTATCCATCAACTTGCACACAGAGAGCAATAGAACATGGACTATAAAATACCCTAGCTAGTCTCATTTCCATCACCAGTATACCTCTTTCTAGGTAAAATAACCCCACCGCTAACAGCTGTAACAGTCATTTGGAGACATCAGAAGATTAACTATAACACACACAAGGAGTTTCAGGAAAGCAGAAGCTTAAGAGGGACCTGGACAAGCTCAAGAAGTGGGCCCATGTGAACCTCATGAGGTTTAACAAGGCTGAGTGCAAGGTCCTGCACCTGGGTCAGGGCAACACCCAGTATCAATAAAGGCTGGGGGATAAAGGGATTGAGAGCAGCCCTGCTGAGAAGGACTTGTGGGGACTGGTGGATGAAAAGCTGGACATGAGCAGGCAATGTGCGCTCGCAGCCCAGAAGGCCAACTGTATCCTGGGCTGCATCAAAAGAAGCGTGGCCAGCAGGTCGAGGGAGGTGATTCTGCCCCTCGACTCTGCTCTGGTGAGACCCCACCTGGAGTACTGCGTCCAGCTCTGGAGCCCTCAGCATAAGACAAACATAGACCTGTTGGAGCAAGTCCAGAGGAGGGCCACGAAAACGATCAGGGGGATGGAACACCTCACCTATGAAGAAAGGCTGAGAGAGCTGGGGTTGTTCAGCCTAGAGAAGAGAAGGCTTTGGGGAGACCTTACTGCAGCCTATCAGTACTTAAAGGGGGCTTATAAAGAAGATGGCGGCAAACTTTTTAGCAGGGCCCATTGTGACAGGACAAGGGGGAATGGCTTTAAACTTAAGGGGGGTAGATTTAGACTAGATATAAGGAAGAAATTTTTTACGCTGAGGGTGGTGAAACACTGGCACAGGTTGCCCAGAGAGGTGGTGGATGCCCCATCCCTGGAAACATTCAAGGTCAGGTTGGACGGGGCTCTGAGCAACCCCATCTAGTTGAAGATGTCCCTGCCCGCGGCAGGGGGGTTGGACTAGATGACCTTTAGAGGTCCCTTCCAACCCAAACTATTCTATGATTCTAAGTTACCCATCCAGAGAAACACATTGCATCTTGCTCTTTGTGCTCTACAGAGCCCCCTTGGCAAAAGGGATAGCAGGACGCCATTCAATTTAAGCAGCTACTTCTTCTGATTCAAGCTTGAAAACATCACGCGAAGGCCTCCTCCTACCCCTCCCATCCAATGTAATATCATACCCTGCTCTTGAGTAGGAGGACTGTACACATATGCCATTAATAAATTAGACCAAGGATATCACGTGATCTCAGCTTTATGTTCACCTCTACCATTGTGATCCACATGCAATATTTAAAATTTCAACTATTCAGGTCATATACAACAACTTCATGTTATTTCTTTTTCACCTGCAAAGACTATAAACTCATTAACCACAACAGTTCAAAACTGGTGTGATTACACTTAGCATTGCACATTCCCATTTCTTTTATACATGGAGAACGACACCCTGACACCTGCAGCTACTGAGATGCTATACAAGGTCCAAATTAGTTTCTTGCTGGAGACGACAAAAGGATGGAATTCTCATATATTGAATCAGTAGTGGGTCATCTTCATAAAGGACACAGTAATGAATATATGTTTAATCATAAAATAATGAACAGCTATCTTTAAAAGCTTAGCCACATCCACAGTGGAACTCTGACATTCCCTGACCTTCTCCAGTTTTAACTGTTTAACACTTTATTAATATAATTTTCCTTTCTACTTGCTTAGATCTTAAAGGACATTTCAAGTGCTGCATGTCATGATTTAAGAGGTCTTAAGTCAAACTTTGAATTTCCCCAAGTGTACTAGTAGGTGTAGATGGACTAGGAATGCAGAATATGTTTTATTTGCCATACCCACACTATAAAATTCATTAAAGAATATACTTGCAATTTGACTTTTTTCCCCAAAACAGAAACAATATCAACTAGTGTTTGAATAATGTTACAGTTTTGTTAACATTGTGTTGAAAGCTTAAGTTATAAAGTGCCTTTTTAAAGTGCACCTGTAAAGTGCCTTGAAAGCACAGGTGATCCTACTAGCTAGGCTTATAATAGAGTTGCATTATATGTTGTAATGTAAGATTAGACCTTTTGTTTTGAAACTCCTCTTGCAGACGTTTTCTATACTGGGCATAACACTGCTTAGCATTCAAGTTTTTAATAATTGCAAAACAGCCATTTATGAAAATGCTATTAGGAACAAAGGAAAGAGTAGGAAGAAAAAGGAAAGTCACAAGGGTTTCTGATACGTAAGCTCCAGCCACTGTTCACTTCTTTCGCTTTGTTGGCAGGCTCTCCCACCTCCATACTCAAGGCCTTGATATTTGCATAGGATTTGGGTTTTTTTGCTAACTATATTAAATCTTACCCCAAAGTTGGCCAATTTACAAACCTCTGAAAAAAAATACAACCCATAAGAATCCACTTGAGGTTTGTTAATATTAGCAGTTAATAGGTAGCAGCTATGTTCTTCACTGACTGTACCTGCACTAAGCATTTTCCGTGATCTTTAAGCTTTTGCTGGCTAACTGTACAGGGTATGCAATGTTTCACAGAAGAAAAACATTTGCCACATTGGGACTGCAAAACATTGAGTACCGATACTTCTGCCAGAAGGTAATATGACAGTGGAATAGAGCACAGCAAGAGAGCTGCTTTTTCCCCTCTCACATGACCTAACGTAAGCACCTGGATATCTTGGAAAAGGAGGACAAGCATGGCTAGGCTCAGATGAGGACTTCATAGGAACAAAACAAATTAAACAAAAAAGCTGTGAGACTGGAACAGAGGCAGGCTGGAAAGGAAAAGGGTATAAAGGTTTTTAAAAAATATTAGATGATACACCACATATTAGAAGTTGAACACAGGGTTTTCAAGTCTCAGCAGTTTTCTTCTATCATAGCAATTGATGGCAATTAAAATATATCTAGCAATTAACCCACTACTACCCCCAATTACAGCTACACCTGGTTTTCTTGAATCAAGTTATAAAAGTTGAAACTCTTCCGAGAGTCTGTGCACAGAATAGTACAGTTACTGTGGTGGAATTTATTTCCAGTGGCTTTCTGAAACAATTTTGGAAAATATTAAAAGTTGCAAGGTCAGGCGCTCCACGGTTCAGAACTAAATACTCAACTATTTAACCAACTGGGCAACTGCTCGAAGCAATTGCTGCTTTAGATCACTTTCTTTTCTAGAATGTCTGTCCCGTAGGATGAATATGCTTTGGAAATTAATTAGCTTTTTTATAAAGAGTATTTGTCTGCAATAAATGAGATACGGTTCTTAATCTCAGAGACACAAAATGAACAAATCTTGCCCTGGAGAACAGGATCCTCTTGTCTTCTGCTACCCAAACTTCTGAATGATGGCAGGCACATCATTTAAACCAAGTATTTCACCAGGTAGCATTAATCAATCTCTGGTTCTCCACTTGACTCAGCGGAAACCTGAAGTCAGAAGTGCAGAAAATTTGAACTACAAATGAGGTCAAGATGATGATATTCTGAACGTATATCCTGGAGGAGGGACACTGGGAAGACAGGAATCAGTCTAGCTTTTAAAAACGGACAACAGAATCAGCCCGTTCTTCCCTTAATACATTTTCATCCTGTCCTCTTCCAGCTTCGTTTCTCTCACCTAGGCTTTTCCTTCGCTTTTATCAGATTTATTTTCTCTTTCCTTCATTCTTTTCAATTTTATATGTGTCTCAGCTCAGCTATAAATTAATTTACAGAGATAAAATAACCTCATCTTACTTCATAAGAGAAGTACAAAGATAAAAGTTACTAGCATTTTCTTTGGGGGGGAATAAGTATTATTAGAAAATAAACAATTTTGGTTTTGCTGTAAGATCTCTGATAAAACTTTCACAGAAAAGTCTTCACAAAACCAAAGCTATAATGCAGATCTAGGAATGTCTGAGATCCAGTGTGAAGCTAATGGTCTTCTGATCATACTCACAAAATAACTACTTCAAAGTAGAGATTAAAAAATTAATGTTTTGTCCTGACAATATCCTTCTCAAGTTTAATTATTGTTGTTGTTTTTATTTATATTTCAGAATACTGTTTCAGGTCTAATGCTTTCTGCTTGAAAATTACAATCAAACTGAATCAAGATTCAAAAAATCAAACAGGCAAAAATAAGAATTACAGCTCTATAGTAAAGAACCAACACTAAAAAAGGTAACAGCACACCGGTGAAAGAACATTGTTGTTCACCAATCCCTCCCCTTTTCTCCTCCCACAAAATATATAAGAAAAACAGAAAGTAACTGGGATGTTTTCAACCGTATTATTCAAAGATTTAAATAAAATAGCTCAGGATTTACGGATTGATATAAATATATCAGAAAGGCACTTAAAAAATGTATGTAATTATGAAATGTGGTAGGTCACGTTATATACACATATAGAGGACAAAAGTTTTAAAAATTGCAGGTCAAAAGAGAAATTTGTATAGGGAAGTAAAAGCAAATCTTTTTGATTTGCTCATATTGAAATTCTTTTCATCTGAAGTTAAAAGAGAAATCTAAACTTTCAAAGAGAGCCTAAATTCTTCAAAAAAGCTATGTGTTAGCACAACTAAGAACAGATACTCTGACTGGGAGGTACAGTTTATGTGGCACAAGTTACTGTTGAGCAAGGAAGGTAACACCTCTGTTCTGAGCCTGAAAAATCATCTCCCTACTGTAACATGAAAATAGAAGATAAAAAACGAGAAAAGACTGAATTATACATTAGAGAAAGAAAAAAAGAAGACCATTCCTTTAACCTAGATCTGTGGAATGGGCCAGGATTTGTTTTCTTACACACACTCAAGTAGCCTGTGGCAAACTGCGTAAGAAAATAATCTCCATTACCATCAACTTAGAATCGCCAACAGAAAAGCAAGCCTCAATCACCTGAGAGACTATTTTTGCCTCATTTTTGTATACTGTCAAAGACAGCAATTTCCTAGTCTATGAGCTGGACACTAAGATGCTAGCATAATACAGGTAAATGTGTTGTACTTAAAGATGGCAATAAACACTAAAGCTGAAAAAAATCTTATACTTCCATCCTCAATAGTTTTATCACATAAGAACACGTGAGAACATTATGCATACTAAAGGAAAATTTTGAATCTTCACTGCATTTTAGACGAAAGAAAAAAATTTCAGAGGGGAGAGATTTTTAAACAGCATGCATCTTCTGATCTCAATCTTAGACTGCTGAAAAAGTATTTTGTTTGAAACTACTTTTCAAACAAACTACTGAATGAAAAAGAACTATAAAATCCTGCCATATCAATTTGGAAGAAAAGAAAGAAAAAAGACACTTAAAAATAGTTTTAGAAGCAGTACTATGATCACAGAGTCCTGTCTGAAAATTGGAGCAATGGAAGAATTAAAACTTAGTATAGATAATCTTTTGGAGATGCTCAAGTTATAAGTAAGTTTATTATATCAGAGAGACTGCTTCTCAAATCAGCTTTTTACTAAGTCACGGATTCAGGACACCGTCTGGTAACATTTAAAAAAAAAAAAAACCAACCAGAGAGCAAGCTATACTTCAACTCATTAAAATAGTAATAGCAACTGAAATATAATAATTAACCTACGGATAACTTGTAACGCTTACAGAACTTCAACTGATGTGGTTTGAGGGGTGGAGAAGGGAAAGATTGTTTCAATACCTTGTCTTCCCTCATCATTGGTAAACAAACCAGCATCACTGCTGCTCAGACTGCTGGATTCACTGTAATAAGAGAAAGAAAGAAACAGATCAAAAGAACAATTGATCTTTCAGTCGTAAAATTTTAAGGAGACAAGGCTGTGCTCAAATTGAACTTAAGCCCAACAAAGATCGGAAAGAAAATAGGATGATTTTTTTTTTTAATCAAACTGCAAATATCCTAGTTCCATTAACTACAAAGCATATTATTTTTGGCACATAAAACCACGGGAATCTAATGGTACCCTGACAGTAAGCCAGATGTGACTGCAACGAGGTGCTGACACAATTGATGCATTTTATTATCTGCTTCCATCAAATGCTCACTGCTTCCTTCTTATGCTGTGCAATTCAGCTTGATCCTGGAACACCACTGCTCAATAAAATAGGAAAAGTCTCAATCAAAAGCAGCCTAAGCCTTCCCTCAGCACATGAAATATAAGAGTCTGAAAATCGAATTACCTTTCTAAACATCATTTGCAAGTATTCTGGAAAAGACACTGCTTAAGGTTTCACAACATACTACTTGGGAAGAAAAAAGTTTATAACAAAGGTAGCCAATTAAATCAAAATAAAGGTCACCCTGAAGAAAATAAGTATGATCAATGATCATAACATCAACAAAAAAAAGCAAGGTACAGTTTCCTTTTCTGTCACTTCCATCATGGCCTTAAAATTAGAATGCGTGTATATGACATGCACACGCTTCTCTCTAAATTCAAAGTCATCAGTAGGTAAAGTATTTTGTTCTTTGCTGTACACACTTTGTTACAAACAATATTCCATGTCTCTAAATAGTAAAACAGAATTATCTTTTAATAACATAGATCACAATTTGGTGAGTTTCACACAAAAGGATTTTTTGTAAACCATTTATTTCATTTTTTTTGTCCACAGAGTAGCTCTGCTAAGGCAGTAATATTCTCATGAAAATTTAATCACATTTTACCTACAGTGAGATGTAGAACAATTCGAAAAAAATCACTTCAGTTCACCATACAAATTCAAATACAAGTTATAACTACTATGGCTACTCTCAATGTTCCATACGAACTATTTATAAGAACTTGAGGTCTGTTTACCTTTCTACACTTATTCATATTAAAACATACATGCAGTCCTATACTTGAATTCAAGTGGTTTCAATTATTTTTACTTACTTTCTAGTAATAAATTAGTTTTATTTTTGTTTCTAAATAACTACTACACTGCAGAAAATTATTTCCTTTTAAATGTTAATCTCTCACAAAAATAAGCCTCAGGTTTTTTTAAAGCTTGTAATATGAATTATATAAAATTAGTCTAATTTGTGTTTAATTATAGGTACACATTTGGTTTTTTATATCTTCCTTTGGGAGGATTTGGAACACAATATAGTATCAGGAGACACAAAGCAGTGATTTAAAAAAAAAGTAATATATACGGCTCTGTGTTTGAATATTATTTTTTTTAATATTTGCTGTATCTTCTGCTTATCCATATTCTTACTGTGTAAGCAGTACTTATACCATCTTTTATATATAATATAATCAGAACAGACTTAAGCACTTGCACAACTGCCCTAAGCAGAAGAAAGAAGACAGGCATGCAATGAGAACAGAACCATCTTTCATCAGGGAGACCAAAACTTGAACTTCCCAGTGTTGCAAATCCTAGTACCTTCTTTCTAGCAAGCATCCCGTCCTCACTTTAATTACAACAAAGATGGCTTTACTGTCCTTACATTTCATTGTGCAATTTTACATCATACATCTCAAAGAAAAACATCCCCTTTTCATAGATTCTTCCTATCCATTTATTGTTTATTTGTACTTTTTAAAATTAAAGCTAGGAAATCCTTTCAACTCCAGTATTTCAGCTACTTTCCCCACCAAATTTTGAGAACAGTCTCCTTCCTTTTTTCTCTTTTTTTTTTTTTGAGATATTTTAATTGTGCAGTAATTCCTACTGAAGGATTAGCCAGTTCATGAAAATATAACCTCTTGAAACTTTCAAAATTACACATAATAATGTTTTGCTTTTTAAAAATCAAACCATAACGCTGGTATATCCATGGCAGCCAGTGTTCATTCTCCTCAGGCCACAGTCAAATAGGGCAGGGATTACAGCTGAGATAATTGCTACATGGCCATCGTTTCACTGAATAAATTAAAAAATCTCTGGAATTAATACATTAATATCTAAGTACATGAAAGCTGTTATGATGGAATTTATTTCCAGTTTTAATATAATTTTGCACTGTATATTGCTAATTCATTTGCTTTGTAATGAGAATTCTGCTCCCAGGAAGACTTCCGGGAAAAAGAAAAAAGCCACAGATTCCTTTTAGTCCTATAAAATAGGGTATGCAAGCAAAAACTTGGAAGGAACAGCTCTGCTACCCAAAAAGTTTTCACAGCTTTATTTATACATTTGTGGAAATAAAGAAGAAATAAGCTTTATTATTAGTTACTATTACCAGCAAAGCGTCCCATACCTTGGTTTCACATGAGACTTGTGACCTCTGTTCACTAAACAAGCCTGTCCCCAAGAACGGACCAGCCACGGTACTCACACTGACTGGCAGGCTGCCGGGTGGGCATCTCTGGCATTATTAAAGGTCTGAGTTTCACTGCTGCTCTCTTTCAAAACGGGCAATTGAGATTTCTCCTCTATTTAGTCACTTAAAATGCAAACAATTGCCAAAGCTTGCAGGAATTAAATATCATCCAGAACTCCACGCATCGCCAAATTTGGCTGAAACTGGCCAAGGAACTAAGCATTGAGGATAAGGGAAAATGAGCAAAGGACAGGCTCTGATCACGAAAATCTCTTTTCCAGTGCTCAAAACCAACCTCACAGGAAGTCATCTTTGGGACCATTTAGATGCTGACATTTTAAGAGCTTGAAGACTCCTACTACTACTCCTGAACCCTGCACTTAAAGGGTTATTGTTGCGTTTGGTGTTTGAACACACACAGATAAAAGACTGCAAAAGAAGTGTCACTTAGCATTTTTAATGTGTACTTCAAATATATATATACATCATGTTATTTTAAAGTAATTTCATGTATACACTGAAAACTTCTCCTCACCAGTTTTAGATCCAAGCAACTTAACTCCCATTAAAAATCATTGGCTTTGTTTTGTTTTTAAAAACTGAACTTCTAAAAAATTAATCCTTTTTTTGAATAATTATTAAGCTGTATGCACACAAATGTACAAAATTAGAGCAGCTTTGTACACTTTTTATTTTTCCTCTTCCAACAAGTGTTGCTGAAGCATGAGTCTTATCCAAGATGCTTTGTTATCTCTCCATATCTTGTGCAATCTTACAAAACTCATGTTCCCTTTTAAAATCTCAGCTTTTACTTTTAGAACATATTTTTAGGAACCGAGTTTGCTAGTTGTTTCCGATTCTTCTGACTAAATGATCACAAACAATAGAGGCACTATTGCATTTAAGTAAAGCTAGTTTAAAACCAGTTAAAATTATTCACATACAAATATTCAAATACAACATGCACCTGAGAGGCTTAGATATTGTGGATATCTAATCACATTATGGAATGCAAATTTTCTAATTCAGTGGTTTCCAAACCTTTTGGTACAGATGACCATTGCAAGAAATTCAGTAGAATGACAGACCACCACTCAACCACGTGCATGAGCAGAAAACACTATGAAGATGAGAATGGTTTTAAAGGCCATTTATTGGGGCCAGAGACAAACATTTGAAGTACGATTTGAAAAATGACAGCATTTGGTGTAACAAAACATTAAGCGTTTTGAAGAGGAAGATGAATTTTTAAATCGATAATGTTTCTTTTGTGAAAAAAACAAAAAGATATTCAGACTGACCTGGAAGTAGCACAGTTTTGGGAGTCTACAAGAGGAGTTTTACACTGGTCACTCTACTCTCCACCCAAAAATTAGCTACAGAATTTTTGACTTGGAGAACTGTTACCCTTGTAGCATAACAGAAAATCTTTTAGAAATAAAAAAGCAACAAGAATATGGACACATGATAAAATATGCAATGGTTCCTAGCTCCAAGGAAATTTTTAAGCATCTGTCTTCAGGTACCAAACTTGGGGGAACAGATTCCCAGTATCATCACAGAAGGAAGTTCTCTAAAGGCTTCCTGACAACACACACTCCTGTCTTGCATGTCAAAGTGAGATGTTTGAAGTTAAACCGGCTGCACTGAAGGACTGCTTCTGCTCTAGTAACTAAGACATTAGTAACAATCTTTAAGACTCATGATTCATATTGCTGCTTATTGTCCACAGGTGAGGGACAAAACTAGCATGTAATAAAAAGACTTAGAAGAACTTACCCACAATAACTGGAGTTAGTCACTTACCAATACTTCTGTTATTACAGTAACCGATCTGTCTGCTCTGGTCAAAACCCCTGGGTACTCTCTGTATCTAAACTCTACCTCTCCAGTAAGGAAAAGGCTTAACAGTTTATAGATAAAATGCCTACAAAAAAACCAGGGACACTAGTGCTGTCAAGCAACTGACCAAAATTATGTGTTTTAATATGAGTCTTTCTTGTTGACAGTTCTGCATTCAGAACCAGACACAGGATAAACATAATCAAGCTTACCAGGCCCCGCAGGTAACATCCCTTGTGTATGGTGGAAAAATGACTTACACCTTACTGTGTTGTCAAAATAGTACTTTGGAAACAATTACCATTGTAGTATGACTGCTGTCTGGAATGGATGGATGAGGTGTACTGCCAAAGGGTCATCATTCCCCCATTTTTCTAATGGTAAGCTCAGGTGTTTCTGAACTGTAAATTGGTTTTTGCATTTCGTAAATGATGTATATCCTTGGCAACCTGCAGACTTTTTACGCCCATGACACATAAGAACATACTGTCTAAATGGTGACTCTAAACACTGACAACCTTTCTGATGAATAGAGATAACAATCGAAGCACCAATGTCTAGAAATTGGAAAAAAAACTTGATTTTTCTCTGAGAACTGTCATCAGTTGAAATACCCAGAAAAAGACGTATTAATCATTTGTATATTCTGTCATTCTTCATCTTGAAACAATTAGAATGTATTATTTCAAGAAACTGTTTTCTTGGTTATTCCTCTGCTACATGACTCTCTATTTTATGCTGAATGCCTTAACCCGAGCAACTCATGTATTAAAAAAAGTAGACTTAAAAAAGTAACTTGTTAAAACAGATACTATTGATGCTAGCATTTTAACTCTGGAATTAAAGAAAAATCCAAAGATTCCCAATACAAACAACAGTAATAAAAGCAAAAAAATACTATCCAAAGTTTCTGTAAAAAGGAAGAGAAAGAATAACCTGTCACTCATGTTCTCATCTGAGCCTTTTTGCTCCTCATATTCCATTTTGTCCTTATTTGCTTGGTTCACTTCTTCATTTTCTATAACTACTCCTTCATCCAAGATTTCAGGTCCTTGTCGAGCTGCAGCCACTTTTCTTTTTTTTACTTTGCTCTTAGAAAACTCTTGGTGTTGGTATGATTTATTGTCATTGTCCATTTCTTGATCTCTGCTGTTATCCTGCTGTTGAGTTATTGTCAGTGCATTAGAGACTTCTGATGGCAGATCTATTGCCATCCGTTTTACCTTTCTTCTCCTGCGCAAAGTTCTGTTTCCCAAACTGTCAACAGCCAAATCTGGTTCATGCCACAGGGGTCTTTTGCCTCTAATGTTATTTAAGTTTGAGGAAGGCCTACGTTTAGCAACCAACAACTGGTCATCAGAGTCACTGTGGTCTTTCTTACTAGCATGGTTCTCCCTGTAGTCTTTGTTTGATTCTTCTAAACTGGAATCAGAACCTTCACTTAAGCAGTGACCAGTCTCCCAGGGATGATGGGTGGTAAATGAACGTCTTTTTCGTCCCCTCCTTTTCCTTGCCTGTCGCTTTAGAAGACAAGACACACTTCGAGAATGATCTCCAGTATCAGCAAAACCTCCTCTGGCTTGCTCTGAACTTTCTTCCAGTGCTGAGACTAGATCGTGAACCAGCTCCTCCATAGTCCTACTGAAATGCCTATATATTTCAAGAAAAAACACACACAAGAAAACAACATATAAATCTGAAGTGTTAAGCATAAACTCTATAACAATTCTGAGCCAAAATAATTTTACTCACTTTAGGCAAGGTAGTTTTAATGTCCATTCTATAAAGATTATTGTATTTCTGCTGAGAGATAAAGCCTTGCCAACCAGTCCTACACAATTTGCAACACATCAGCATACGTTCCTTTTAAAAGTCATCTTCCCAAATTTCTGTCTTGGAAAGAAGAGTGGGTTGGGGTTTGTTTCCCATTTGTTTTTGACCTCACTATTATGGTTTAGTTTTAACTCACCTCATCACATTTTTATGATTTTCAGGGTTTCCGCATGGCGAGAGCATCAACAAAGACCATTCACTCTAATTGCAGGCAGGGAGTGCATTTTAAATTTATGAATGGAAAATGGAATACATAATAGTCCTCCTTGATAGTATATTAGGGAGTTCTGTTTAAGAGTTGCCATTATGATAAAATATTTTTAAGGATAATTATCTTTTGATGCTGCCTAAATACCAAAATGAAGACAGTGATTCTTTGATAATATATGACTTTTTTTTTTTTAATAGTGACTAATTCTGTCTTTCCAAATGGCTGATATCCGTTTGATTTTTTTTTTTTTAAATTTGGTTCAGTGGAGTGATATTAAGTTGAGAGAATACCCTGCTACAGGTAATTCTAGAATGTTAAATGCAAAGTTTCCCACCACATGCAGACACTCACATCCATAGAATCACACATTCGTGTAAGGCAAAATATCCCTAAACGCACACAGTGTCTCATTAAGGCCCTATCCTTTTAAACGTTTTGCTCCTTCCTCCTCAAATTTCACTAGCATTTAGCATGTCTTTAACTCCGTATGCTTCAGTAACCTCACCCATATTCACATGAACATAATTACGAAAAGAAAACATTAAATGATTGCTGCTGAACTCTAATCCTTCTCTGAAGGCTGTGAACCTTCCCTGTAAACACAGCAATCAGACTCTCACCACAAAGCATCAGAAGATCCCTTTCATCGAGGTAAAGCAGAGAATAATGTTCATGCTCTTTACTACATTACACCAACTGATAAATATGGAAGACACTGAGTAATTTATGCAGAGGATGTTTAAAAGCAAGACTCTTCACTTTGTTTTCCAACATAAATTGATGGAGGAATGAACAAATGGTTTTCTACCCATACCAGCGGAGTTGTAGATGTGGAGAAAATCTAGACACATAGCACACAGGTTCCCTCTCCGATTTACCACAAACTCCAACATTAAAGGTACTTAATGGTGGTGGCTGAATGGACAGTCATGACCATAAATTACACAAATTTTAAATATTAATGGGGGAACTGAGGAGCACGTTTAAGAAGAAATTCAAGCTGGGCGTGATATATCTTACCTAAAGAAATGATCTATTCTCCTTTTAAACCATTTTCAGAAATACTTATTTTAAACATTTCAATTGCAAGATCACCAAAAGCACAGAGAGTGGTAGAAACACAAGCTCATTTTGAATTCCTGAAACTACTGTGTCACTTGCCTTTATTTCTCGTACCTCTTTTTCTATCCTGCTGTAATCTCTAGGCCTATTACTCCCTCTTAACCTAACATTTTCTTTAGCTCTTAGTAGAGCGGAATCATCATATTATCTTGTAAGGGGTGAGACAGCTCTGGAAGTATGCTACACTTCTCCTTAATCCATTTGGTTCACAAGAATCAAAACCTCCAAAATCACACAAAAATACTTCTCAGAAGCAAGAGAAGCAACACAGCAGGAAAAGTATTCAAACGAAGCAACGATTTTCTGAAAATTCAGAGAAAGAAAAAAGTGGAAGCCATTTAACCTAGAAATTACTTCTAGAGACATGTGGCATCAAAATGATTTAAAACTAACTCTTACTTCGAGTTTTCAAAGTTTCAGTTACTATGGAGGGGTTTTGGTGTGTGTTGGGGGGGGGGGCTGTTTGGTTTTTGCTTGGTTTTTTTGCTTGTGTAGTAGAAATTTCAACCACCAGTAGAGGCAAGTCCAGGTATATTTGTACAAGGTTTCTACACATGATGCTTAAATTGATACATTAACCCATGTTTCTCAGTAGCTAGAACTGCACAATGGGGAGGGCACTAGCCCCTTTAGCTTTATTGATAAACACCCATGAAGACAGCTATCCTCACAGGTGCACATATCAGAAATGAGATGCCCTTGAGATTTACGGGGTTTACTTCTGTGCTAATGTAACAGGAGCTATAAGACTCGAACAGACAAACTCCAGTACATTTGAGTTAATTTGAGAAATCAATTCCCCCAGCTGCCTGCCCAGCCCTTCTGCCACAGGCTTTCACATTTACAGTGAACTGATAGAAGTGGAGGTGCACCAAAAACTGAACTAGTAGGCTTAAACCTACATTCAGCTCAAACTGAACAGGTTTCTGCTAACGTGCCAGAATATGAACTAGCTTATATACGCTCTTGCAGCTCATTCTGTTAATGCCCTTGCAGCAGAAAGTAAAAGCAAAAGGAAAGACAGGGACGGGACACTAATATCTTACATCACAGTTTATGATTAATTCGATCTATTCAGTACCCCTAATCCATATGGATAACTATATCACCAAAATCACTGCAGCTCCTACAGTGGACATACCAACTTACTCCAAATAATGGCATAAGTATGGTGGTAAAGTTGCCTTAGTTCTATGAAATACTTCAGGATCAAACACAACATATCCAGCTTGGATTTATGTATCTGATCTAAACTTGCCTTGAATTCCCCCCAAAATACTGTCAATACAGATGGCGCTAGATCAAAAGATGAAACTCAAGAGTGAAGACCCTTAAGTATTTTTGAAGTAAAGGGATAATATGATTCTTAAAAGGCCCTGAGGAGTAAGGCACTTACTTTCCATCAGACTACAACTTTGACTCTTAGGCGCTCCTGCAATTAATCTTTTCTATTGAACATCAGGTCTCTCCATTGCAATTCCTGAACTAAGATCTGTACAGGGCAGTGACCTTGTTTACCCTAAAAATTACAGCCATGGTCTCACGTATAATATAAGAGTATCCTAACTGCATTACCTCTTGGACAGATCAGATGAATTAATATTATAATTACTTCAACATGTTTCCACAGGATGATTATTGATCTACTGGGGACACTGGAAGCTCCTTTGTAATAGATTGAGAATACGATATACGTATTACTTCAGCTTTTTATTCACATTGCACTTTCAACATGCCAGTGGTCCACATTAAAACTCCTTCTCCTGAAAAGCCAAGAAATCTCTTTTGATTAATTTTATTTGGGTTCTCATTTCTCTTGCTATAATTGAAGAAAAAAAAAAAAGGCGACAGCAACTAGATAGAACAGTTAATCTGAAATCTGCCTCCAAAATTCAAGAGCGTATTTCTATTACAGCATTATTAATCAGACAAACTCAGTTTTGCAACTTTCTCCATTATTCACAACCAGCTGTCAAGCTTGTATTCCAAACCTATGAAGAAATTTTAACCATTGCTGCAGATGTTACTGTAACAAAAATAACTACAGGTTGAAAAATAACTACAAGAAGTATTAAAGACATCACCAGTGAATATCAATTGCATTCAGTAAGATGAGAAATTTCAAAGGTTGTAATAAGGAATGTAGAACAACATATTGAGGTACATAAAATATTAAGTTGAGCCACAGTTTAGCATGACTCATATAAGGCTATAAAAATGCTGTTACAGCAACAGCCCACAGTTAGCAATAAACTGTAACGTCTTCACTAGGAGAAGATTCTGCTTTACTATGAGAAAATCTAGTTTGCCCACACTGACCTTTACATTTATCTGAAGCAATTTTAGTGTAGGTCACCAAAGGCTGACCCATTTCCTCTATAACCCTTACCAGAACAGACCATAGAAGTACTGTTGCAGGAAACAATGTAACTGCTTTCACCTACTCCAAAACAGTTCACGCAGTTTGTGTTCAATATTAATATTCATATTGAAACTCCTGATGGAAATAATAGGCACTTGCTTTTTCAGTGAAAACCAAGTATCATTTTTGTTCACTCCCCACCTAAAGCATATAAAAATGTAAAGCTCTGACTGCTCACAAAATATTTAACAAACACTTACACACTGATGGGAAAGCTAACTTAGTTGCACAACTCATAAGTAAAGGCAGTATCTTTTACTAAAATGACAGCTGCTTTTACACTTACTTTCTAGTTCTATACCTTTTCCTGTTAAATAGATACACAGTTTCTTGCAGCTAAAGTTACGCTGCATCTGTGTCTCATCAATTCTGAAAAGATCCAAGACTTTTGCTGCCTTCACAACCCACCTTGATCACATGCTAAGAGCAAAAGAAAAAAATCAAGTAGTTCCTTGAACACCGGGATTATAAAACCTGACTTTCTATAATCTTTCCCCCATACAGATTCTCTGATGTCTCGTAACACAGCTGTACTCACAGTGTACCTTTAGCCTCAGATAGGTGCTAATCTGAAACCCATTTCTCCACCTCAGAAGTAATTTTCATAAAGACTTAGAAACATTAATTTTGAGACCTCTGCTTTATTTATGAATGTGACTGAAATTTGGATTGAACAGGTGCAAGTATTTGGGAGGGAGCAGCAGATGATAAACCTCACCAGCTTGCCTGAAGAATTTATGGATTCAAAAAAAGAGAACTATCATGGTTTGTGGAATACACAAAGGGGAAAGCAAAACGGAGCAACACAACTTAGTTAAAAGTACTAAATAGCTAGCAAGACCCTACAGTAGATGAGGAAATAACTGATAAACCTGTGTTATGTAGAAGCTTATGGTATACATCAGAAACAGAAGTTGTGCCTAGATCATTTAAACTCAGCTGTCATCAAATGGCCATCACCAAGAGGAGGACACAAAGCATCCAGTTCCATGTCCGCACCTATTTATGTCCTTAGGCATTGTCCACTGGGCAACCAGGTACACAAAGCTACACAA